AAGGAAAAGAAAGAAAAAGAGGAGAGAGAAAGAAAAAGAGAAAGAACAGAAAAAAGGAAAAGAAAGAAAAAGGAGAGAGAAAGAAAAAGAGAAAGAACAGAAAAAAGAAAGGAAAAGAAAGAAAAAGAGGAGAGAGAAAGAAAAAGAGAAAGAACAGAAAAAAGAAAGGAAAAGAAAGAAAAAGAGGAGAGAGAAAGAAAAAGAGAAAGAACAGAAAAAAGGAAAAGAAAGAAAAAGAGGAGAGAGAAAGAAAAAGAGAAAGAACAGAAAAAAGAAAGGAAAAGAAAGAGAGAGGAGAGAGAAAGAAAGAAAAGAAAAAAGAGAGAAAGGAAAAGAAAGAAAGAAAAGAAAAAAGGAGAAGAGCAAGAGAGAAAGAAAAAAGAAAGGAGAGAAAAAAGAGAAAAGAGATAAAGAAAAGAGAGAAAGAAAAGAGAGAAAGAAAAGAGAGAAAGAAAAGAGAGAAAGAAAAGAGAGAAAGGAAGAGAAAGAAAAGAGAGAAGGAAGAGAAAGAAAAGAGAGAACGAAAGAGAAAGAAAAGAGAGAGAAAGAAAAGGGAGAGCAGGTACTTATTCTACATAAGTAACTACCATTCTCCCAGGAGTGTGCTCACTTGCTCCTCCACTGTGACCGCATACCACTGGGGGCTGTTCATATGCAAAGTCTAAGAAGGGGTGAACCTGACTGTACAAATGGCAAATATTAAGTGTGTTTTAGTAATTTAGTTTGAAAGTGTTCATTTTCACACAACCTACTGTGTCCACAGGTGTGGATTGAGTAAATGGCAGGGTGCTTATCCTTGCTGCAGCCATTTAAGAACTCAAAGTCCACTGTCAGGGAATCATGACCCTTGGGATAACCATTAAGCAGAACTAGCAGTTTATAGCATGGTTTTGGTACTGTAAGAGCATAGCTGTTGAATATTCAAGAATTTTATACTGTTTTATACTGTTTAATTAATAATAAAATCTTTGATCTTCTTTCTAATCCATCCTTTCTCATATTATTTGTGTTTTAGAGGAAATAGAGAAAAATACTTAAAATTTTCTTTGTTTCTCAAAATTAAGATCTTCAGAAAAAGTAGAGACAAAAGAAGATCAGAACATTTCTCTGAATTGCAAGGATCTGTTTTTATTTGTTTTCCTCAGACTTGAATCCACCTGCTGCAACGTAAAACTGGAAAATGGAAGAAACTGTGCTCGAATGACCACATTAGAATGAAATAAAAGAAATAAATAAAACCCACAGTCACAACAAATTTTCAGAGTTATTATTATTTAAATTGGTGATAAACTGTTGCACTTCTTAGTCTAGGATATTTACAACTCATTATTTAATATACGTCTCTTTAAGATCAAGAACAGATGTGTATATTTATACATATATATTTAAGAACATTTATTAATAGTTACCAAAGGAATTCTCAAAACAAATTGTCCTGCATTTTGATCACAAGTCATAATACTCTTGTTATAAACAGAGATACACAGTAAGAACCCACATGATTGGTGTTATCAGTACAATTTCCACCTGATTATTCCCTTCTTTCTTTCTACTTTTGCCACACCAGCAACTGACCTAAGTGATGTTTAAGCAATATTTGCACCATTTATGTCACAGCTTTCAGAAAAGCACTCCTTTGTCTGGAAGGATAAGGGATGAAATGTGTCCACAAAATGACATCAGCATGCAGCAAAGTTCCAGGCAAATCCCATAACACAACAAAAATAAGTATTCCTTGTTTGCTGGGGAGTTTTTCCATTCAAGTCTTCCTCCTTCACGGAGGCCTTATTCTCCCAAGTGGTTGTACTGGCTGCAGTGAAACCAGCATGAGCCAGGACTGCTATGGTGACCACACTCCTCTGGCCCTTTGAGTGTCTTTAGTACCAGAACATGCTGCTTGGGACTTTTACTTTTCCTAAAATGCCTCATGCCAATCTTGGGGCTTGTACTTTTCCCAAAAAGGCTCATGG